TAGAGAAAATCTCACCCCTATCCCCTGCTGTTGCTTAAATATTTGATTATTGTGTGAGTAAAGATTGAAATATAAAGTTGAACTGCATTAGTTCAAGTTAGAATGTTCTTTGATACAACATTTAATTATACACGAGTTAGTGAGAAAAAACACTTGAAAAATTGCTTAGAAGATGTTTGATGAAATGTTTGAGAGAGTTTATGCATTTAGGGAATTTATAGAAATAAATGAAAAAAGGGAAGTTTTGATTTGAAAAGGAATTTGAAAAATTGGATAATTTGGTGGACGAATGATGAAGTTAACAATCTGTTCCATAGATTCGAAGGATGAAGATGATATATACCTTTGAAAACTTGAAAGAAAAATACTTTCAAGTTTGAACAACACACACAAATTAATCAATTATTCATGTACATATTTGTAGGACAAAAAAGAAGAAGAGAAAGGGAGAGAAAAAGGGTTGATGTCACATATGAGACAAAAAGAAGTAAAAAGAGAAAAGAAAGTCTTGTTATTTGGGAACAGTGGGTGGGTCTGTGTGTTTCCAAGTTGTTCTTCTTTCTCAAAATGCAATGTCCATGGATTTGGATAAGAAAAAGGGAATTGTGTATGCATCTTCGCCTGGTTCATCCTATGGTCCAATGAAGATCGTCAATAACATCTCCAGATCAAATCTTGTGTTTAATCTTCATAGGGAGGAAGAATCGTGGCACATTTTGGAGAATGGTGAAGTGGATGTATCTGGGCGGATGTTGCTTTGGTGAGTGGTATAAAGAAAATCTCACCCTATCTCCTTCTGTTGTTTAAATATTTGATTATTGTGTGAGTAAAGATTGAAATATAAAGTTGAACTGCATTAGTTCAAGTTAGAATGTTCTTTGATACAACATTTAATTATACATGAGTTAGTGAAAAAAAAACACTTGAAAGATTACTCAGAAGATGTTTGATGAAATGTTTGAGAGAGTTTATGAATTTAGGGAGGTTTGTAATCCCCACAATCAAACTAATTTTTTTGCAAGTTGACTTTAAGTGACGTGGTGTAACATATGGCGTGCCACATCAACGCCCGATAGAGCAAATAAACGGTAGAGACCAAAATCAGAGACGAAAAACTTTAGAAGTATTATTCTTTGAAGAAAAATTTTATAGAGACTAAAATTAAATGTTGGGTTATTTACATGGACGAAAAACATACTTAACCATTGAATTCATTTTATATTATTTTTTAAATTTTAATGTCAACTTTTAATTATCTTAACATTTTTCTTTATAATAGTTTTCTTTAGGTTTTATTGTATCTTATTATCTTTAAATATTTATATTATTATCGTTACGCTTTTACAAAATATTTTATGATGTTTTTTCTGATTGAATACTTATATTTCATAAATGATTTTGTGTTTGAACTATGAATGATAACTAGTATGATACCAGTGCATTCACACAAGTACCGGTCTCACACTTTCATTGAACTAAGCATAGTTCATTTAGAAAGAAAAAATAATCAAATATTATGATATTATCTATAATAAAACATAATTTAAATAAAAGAATAATTTAATTTGTAAAATTCTATTTTGCATAGTTAGTTTGTGCATTGAGTATAAATCAATAAAATAGAATAGTTTTAATTAAAGAAATAATGTAAAATTAAAATAATAACAAAAACATATCATTCTTATTTATATCATTTATACTATTTCACTTGAGTATAAAGTGAAAATACATATAATTTTTAATCAAAATATTTAGCTAAGATATATTTAATTTGCAAACTAAATACTTATATATTTAATATGTTAGAGACCTTTTCATTAATATTAGTTTCTCAGCAAGTCTCTAAATTTTCTAGTGTAGACGAACTTTTCTCTTTAGTGGGATATTCGTGCGTTCGCACGAGTACCGGTATGGTATGCGCATTTGTCTCCAAAATATAATAAAAGTAAAATCAAATTTTTTAAAAGAGATAATAAATCAGAGCCTATAATTCTTTCAATATATAAAAGTATTTGAATCAATAACATATATGTTGTTTATATATAAATATTATTTTTGTTTTGGAATTATTGTCCAAAATATTTAAACCAATAATAAAGTTGTTCTATTATTATTCAATATTTTGATCAATAACTTTATATTTCCGTTAATATTCAATAGTTTGATCAATAACTTCATGTTTCCGTTAATATTCAATATTTTAATAAGTAATTTCATGTTTCCGTTAATATTCAATAGTTTGATCAATAACTTTATGTTCCCGATAATATTTAATATTTTGATAAGTAACTTTATGTTTCCGTTAATATTCAATATTATGATCAGTAACTTCATGTTTACGTTAATATTCAATATTTTGATTACTAACTTCATGTTACCGTTAATATTCAATAGTTTGATAAATAACGTCATGTTCCCGTTAATATTTAATATTTCAATCAGTAAATTCACGTTTTCGTTATTATTTAATATTTTGATCAGTAACTTCATATTCTCGTTAATATTCAATATTTTGATCAATAACGTCATGTTCTCGTTAATATTTAATATTTTAATTAGTAAATTTATGTTTATGTTATTATTCAATATTTTTATCAGTAACTTCATGTTCCCGTTAATATTTAATATTTTGATGAGTAATTTAATATTACCTTTATTATTCAATATTTTAATCAGTAATTTCATGTTTTCGTTAATATTCAATAGTTTGATCAATAACTTCATGTTCTCATTAATATTTAATATATTGATAAATAACTTTATGTTTTCGTTAATGTTCAATATTTTGATCAGTAGCTTGATGTTCCTGTTAATATTTAATAGTTTGATAATTAAATTTATGTTCCCGTTAATATTTACTATTTTTATTAACGACTTTATGTTCTTGTGAATATTCAATTTTTTTATCAGTAACTTCATGTTTCCGTTAACATCCAATATTTTGATCATATTTTTAAAAGAAAGAGATATTTTTAAATTAAAAATAAATTAATTTTGCCAAAATTGTTTTACTGATATGATACGCACGCGCTTCTGTTTTCAAAATATAATAGAATAATAAATATTTTAATTATTCATATATTATCTATTGTATTTTAAAATAAAATATTAGATACATAAATAATTAAAAAAATAATATATTTTTTTCGTGTTTGGATTCATAAATTATTTTAAATATATTTACTTTTATTTCCTATAATTGTATAAAAAATGTAATCACCCGTGCGTTCACATCGATTTTGGCCTGGTTACCCGTGCGTTTACACGGTATTGGTGTGTATCTGTGCATTTACACAGTACTGATGTGTTACTCGTACGCTCACACGTTACTAATGTGTTATCCGTGCGTCCGCACGAATTCTGGTGTGTTACCTATGAGTTTGCAAAGGTACTTGTGCGTTACAAATACTTTTGTTTTCAAAATGTAATAAAAAAACCAAAATTATTTAACCAAAATTAATTTATTATTTAGCGGTGATATTCTTCTACAAATATGCCAACTATTCTCTCTCTTTGTCTTGGATCTCTCAAATAATAGAGATTGATTATAAAAATGACTAACAATACCATGACACAATATTATAAGTCAAATTATTTAGAAAGTAGCACAAACAATATGATGCTTTGAAAATATTATTATATAGAAATCAAGACAATATTAATATTATATTTTATCATAATCATAATTAATTAATATATAGGAAGCAGTAAAACTATAATTCCACCATGACTAGTGCCACTTAAAATACTGAACCACTTAGAAAACTATAATCAGTTGACTATTTTAACTTAACAATTATTTAATTTACATAATAATTTTATTAATGTTTTGAATGCACACCACATCACTATCTATACCATTAGAAAGTTAGAAAGAGTCTATACTATCATCCTAAATAAAAGCCACACCACATCACCGACTATACCAGTAACAATCGAGAATCATGCTTAAAAAAACAGAAACACCTTATTTGTTGTTCAACCTCACACATTAATTTGAGATACATTTAAAAACCCAACTATATTTGATACCATGACAATAAATAAATCAGAAATAAAATTGATACATTAAAAATGATAATCAAAATTGTTCTAACACAATGTGTACATTAATGAAGAGAGTGTGTACAGATTACAATCTTACTTTTAACATATCTAAAATTCCAAACTAAATAGTCATAAAAACAATTAATGTGTTTGTATTTTAATTTATACGTTAAATATGAAACATGAGAAGTGTCCTTGCCGAGCAAGTCCAAAATCTGAAAGCTTTGTATTGAAACCCTCATCTAGTAAGATGTTGAATGTTTTAAAATCTCGAAATATTAACTGCATCAGATATAATGGGAATTAGTATTTTATTACTACCAAAATCATTTAGAGATATTAGCTGACGAGAGAGGCCGGATAAAAAAGACATCTAAAGCAGAAACCATGATTATATATAATGAACAATGTAAGATGTAACAAAAATGCAATCCAATTTGATGTGTGCTTGATGGCAGATTCAATTATATGCTCTAGTAACATGTCTGGTATTCATATTTATCTAAGTGTTTCATAACACATATCAAACAAACACATTAACTCATATGATATGATCACATCAATGTACTTGGTTCCATCTTCTATCTAGCAAACTTTCGTTCAATATGAACCAAAACAAAATCAATGACACATACAAAACCAAATTATATCACAAAACAACATCAATTTTCAAATGAGCAACAAAATTGAAGAAAAAAACCTAACACCGCAATCAAAATCAGCCCCCAAATAGAATTACAGCACAACAATCAATAACACTATAAATTAGCTCATCGATACCTTGATGAACCGCATGCAGATGTGGCAACCCAGCTGAAATCCCTTGGATTATAACCTGTCCATTTCTCTTCTCCTTTTCAGACATCACTGTAACATCCAGCAGCGACGAAGAGCCTCGTTGTAGATATCCACTCACCTTCCTCCTTACTCACTCGCTGCCACGGTTAGGCAAATCATCGGCGAACTAAATTACATGTCCAGATGTTGAGTGCTCTTGAGGAATAGGAACTCCTATCAAAGTTCCAGATCCAAGCTTTAGTTTGATGTTTTCTTCTGCTAAGAATAAAAGTTAGAAGAAATCACATAATTAACATAAATTTACATTGAAAACGAAAATGAATAATAATGTTTTGCTTGCCTATTAAGGAAGCACATTCTTCAGGGGTATCCACCCGACATAGAACCTGGAAATTAATGCCATGATCAAACAAAAATTGTCAATTAAACTTGTTTCTTAATACATCATGTAGTCATCTTGCTTACATTTCAATTGCACATGCGAAATTTAAAATGTGTAGCCGCTTGATGCTGTGAAAAAGGCAAAAAACTCGTTGGTCTTGTAAGCAGCTACACAAACTCCTTGTGTTTCTTATTCAAGATAAAACCAAGAATATAAGCTTGATCCATAAAGCATGCATAATTACTTCAGTAATATTATCACATAAGTAATTTCATACCAGATATTCAAGTGTCCTAGGAATATCCAATTTTGAAAGCAAGAATGGAGGATAATAGGATATACTGTGTACAAAAGTGCTATTACTAATACCTGAAACATGAACATACAACAACCAACCATTATAAATATGTCCAATTTTAGCAAACTATCAAGAGAAGTCCTAGAGCTTGGTTTAGTAGAGTTAATTATGATCTTCAAGATTTTGGCATTATGGTTTACAAAACGCAATCTTGCTAATCTAAAGTCTGGAAGCTTTGCATTCCACTACTCATCCAGAAGAATATTTGAAGATTTGAAATCTTTGAAAATTCTCTAATATCCCTCACAAACAGTTAGTCTAATTGATGTTATTCCTCCTATCAAAACTAAAATGGAAGATCATCCTCCAAACAATGTCATTATATCCGGAAAGAATGGCAACATAGCTGCAAAAAGTGTGGTTTCTGCTATTGATCTTGACCTTGACAATAATACCCTTGATACAACGTTCCGCATAAAAAACTGTCATTTTTTCGAATCTCCAAAAAATCGTCTCAAATAGTTCATTTGTCGTTTGCAAATATACCTGTAACATAACCAAGTTATAGTTATTATTCATCAGGATTATACAAGAACAAACAAAGAAACATTGAGTTGCGCTAATTAAGCTTTTGATTTTTTTATTATACTTTTATTCACATTTTTCCTCTAGCTAATTTCTTTTAAATTTTTTGCATTAAAGAACTAAGATAAATTATTTTTTCTAACTAATAGTAATAAGTATCATGAATCATTATTGTATTTCGGTATATATCCCTTTTGCATGGTCTTCTTTTGTATTATTTTCTTCTTAATTACTACTTACTATTTGATCTCAGACTCAGCAGTACTCTTTAATGGGAAGGTAAGGTTAGTCTGACGCCATGAGCATCTTATGTCGAATCTTTCTAGGCACTGTTTTGGTAAAAGTCTTATTGGAATGCTTATATCATAAACACTAATCATAATTAAGTGTTAATGCAAAAGTTATTTTATTTCTATAACAAATGATAAAATACAATTAAATTTTTTTCACATAATAAGTTGTAAGTTATCTTGAAAAGGGTAAAATTGATCTAATGTGATTTTAACATGAAAGCAATAGAGAAGTAGGCTACTTACAGAAAACTGATCTAATGTAAAAGGGAAAATTGACAGCATGTATATGACTTAGCAACATCAGTAGGAAATGTAAAGGAATTGATAAGAGCTCCATTACCTTATTACCAGCACAAAATGCAACAACAGTGTAAATATTTCTAATTGCATCTTCAAGAACCAAAGATGCTTTTCAGTGTATTTCGTGTATGTCGCTTGAAAAATCAAGAAGCCACAATTTCTACAAGGTTCAAATAAACTGCCATAGATTCAAATGATAAAACCAAGTTAACAAATTATGTACGTTGAAAGGTGAAACCTGAGTGGCATCTTTACTCGCATTCACGCCGCAGAACCCAACTGTTTCAAACACAAGGTATATCACTTGGAACTCAGAAGAGTAAAACCCAAAACTGAAATCATGTATACAAACACATAACTAACTTATGAGATTGAAATGAAACCCTAATAAACCATAAATTTAATAACTTTATTTCAAAATCCCTAAATTTCAAAAACCAGATTGAAATGAAAACATCAGATAAACCATAAGAAATATCAAAAACAACAATCATTTATGTTTCTTTCCAAACTTACCCCTTATTTTTTACAGTTGGTTGTTTCGATTTATATTTATTCCTACAAGATTCCTACAAGATTTTACAAGATAAACAAAATTAGAAAACATACAACCATTATTTGATGTTAAAAGTAACAAATTAAGAGAATTTTTTACCTGTCAGGTTTCTACCATTCAACAGTTTATTCAATAAATCTGAAAAATAGATCAAATCAAAAAGAGATATGAGATTTAGTATAACACCAGATGAACAATCAGAATGGGCAAGTAAGTACTACAACACATAGACAAATCTTCATAATTTCTAGGTTATTCCAAGGCCCTTTATTGGACTTGAGGCAACCTCTGTGTAGATGGAAAAAAAACAGTAAAAAGACCAAATACACAATTTTATTATGTTAATAGGAATGTAAAAGGGTCGGAGAAAGAGAAACGGTGATCGTTCTTACCGAATCATTCAAAGATGGAGAAACGAAGGTCGGCGACAAATTTCTTATCATGATTGTTCAAGAATTCTTTCCAGCCTCCCAGTTTACCCACGCGCAGATGAAAGAATGAACTCGCTGGATTGTTTCCTCGTCCACATATTAAATATCACCCCGCGAATGAACTCGGAAGCCATTGAAATTGGACAGTGAAGAATGAAAGGAAAATTGAAAGATAAATGGAAAGTGAAATTGAATTATTGTACTTTGATAGTGGAATGAACAACCGTTTTGTAACAGTTGATTATTACAAACGGTTACAAATTCGATCATGAATAAGAAAGTGAAGAGGGAGGTTATACAACTGTAGAAGCGTAGAAGAATATGGAAGGATTGTGCTGTTTTTTGAAGAAATAAATTTGAAACACTCAAATAGATTATCCACGTGTCATGTAATTGGAGAAAAAAAACAAAAAAAAAAAATTTTGGGTAGAACTACTTTTCTTATATTATATATATTATTATATTTTGTTAATGAATTTGTGTTTAAATTATGAATGTAAATATCATGATTCTTATGATAAAATTATAAAGATAAAAAGTAAATTAATTTTAAAATATCTTTATAATTTTTGTGAATCAAACGTATTTTTAATTATAACTCTCAATTCTTCTCACCTTTCATATTTTGAAACAAATATATATATATATATATATATATATATATAATCTTTCTCTCTCTTCCCCTCTCCTCTTTTTGATAAAAATCCTCCCTCTTCTCTTTTCAATTGAATCAAATGGACTCTAAGTAGCCGAACAAATGTGATGCTTGAGAAGATCTTGTGAAGAATGTTTCAATATTAATGTTGGAGGAGAGAATTTTATGAGAATTTGTGAAAATTCTGTTGGCAATTTAGTTGGTTAATGACTTTTCAAATTTCTGATGAATTGTGTTAATCATCTAAATTGCTCTAGAATTTTGGTGACATATTTTAGTTCGGGTTTTATAAACTTGAACCATGCTGTGTTACTCACTAGGAGGCGTTGAAAGTGGTAGACCCACTCTTGCAAAAATAAATTATAAACCTTTACTACTACTAGATTGCTAATCCATACTCCATTACTAGATTGCTAATCCATACTCCATTAGAATATATTAAAAATAAAACTACATTATTTTATAATAACTGATATTTGATTTTTAATTTATATCTAAAATTATTTTGTAAGCCATTTAAATTATATTTGTAATTATATTATTAATTTTTTAATGAGAAACATGAATACAAAAGTATTTATATTATTATTTTTTTAAGTTATCTAAAAATCTATTATGATTACATTTATATATTAAAATAAATAAATTATTTTTAAACATTTATGAGTATAGAAATATGACTATTTGAACTATATTAAATTTTACATTTAACTTATAATTTAAATTAATTTTAATACAAATGAATATAATAGAAACAATAGTAATGTCGTAAAAATAAAAAAATATTAGAAATAAAAATAAATGTATTTATGTCAACAACAATCTCATAAACCTTAAGAGCAGCAATAATACAAGAATTAATAATAATAATAATAAAAAATAATATATTTAGCTAACACTATTAAAAAAAAATTATAATAATAAGAATATAATAAACTTCAATTAAGACATTTAAAATTTAAAATTCATAAAAATAATATGAATTTAAAAAAAATGAAAATTATTTAATCTTTTGATTTATAATAAATATTTAAGACAAATTTAATATATATATATATATATATATATATATATATATATATATATATATATATATATATATATATATATATATATATATATATATATATATATATATATATATATATATATATATATATATATATATATATTATTTAATGATATGAAATTTCAATTCTAATTCAAATTTTTATAGATATGAATATTGTAACTTAACTATTAATAGCAAATAAGTAACAACTCTAATAATAATTATTAATAGATTTTAGAATTTGAGAAATCTAACGATAAATAATGAACTACACAATTTTAAAAAAATTAAGTATAATAGTACTCTTATAATAATTAATAGTATAATTTCTTATAATGTTAATATTTTAAAAGAATTGAATAAAATATGAATATGAACTATAAGTATTTTTAATAAGAATAATATATTTATCATTTATATTAGTTACATTGTATTTCATCATTGTTTAAAATATAATGATATTTAAAATAAGATAATAGTCGTTTGTGTTTAAATTAGCTATTTTTGTGAAAATGATATTATAATTATCTTCATCAAAATTAATCTGCAATGCCAAAAAAATAGAAATTAAATTTAAAATTAGCATTCAATGAAATCTATATTTTATAATCACATTAATAAAATATAAGTTTGATTTCAAAAAATATAAATTTGATTTCAAATCTTCTTTACAGTGACACCAAATAGTACCCGTTGCTCCAAATATATTTATAACAACTTTAATATCAATAAGACTCATTATCAAATTTCATCAAATTATATAAGAAGTATCTATGCAGTCGAATTTCATTTGAAAGAATAAAATCTACTCTATCAAACAAGAAACATTATCATCATCACAAAATTTCGGAATCTATAATAGAGTAAAATTGTAGAGAAGAAAAATAATTAATAATCAAATAATAAAATTAACATGTGATATTATAATACATTAGTTAAATTCTCTACCGTTTTAATCTCAATTTAAATCTCTATGATACCTTGATAATAGGATGATTATGACGATGAATTGTATTTTATATCATAGTTTAGAATTAACACAGAAACCATCTAATATGCACATAACAATCAACAAAAACTTTTCTATTTATAATATATTAAAATAACCTCCATGACATTTTATTGTCAACTCATCATTAATCACAAACAAAATAGTTGTTATAAATATATAAATATTTTGTAACAAAATTAAGCCGAAAAACTACCTACCATTGTATCGTTACAAAATTAATATTACAGAGTATATCTGTTGGCTGAAATTTTCATAAAGAGAGAAATCCAAATCAAAAGTCAAAAAGGCTCTTTTAAAAGCATTAAAGAGCATTAAATTATGAGGAGTCAACTACATAAGCATGTCGGCCATAGTTGATTTCACAGGCAGTCGACCAAAATTTCATAAGCGTAATCGATTAGAGAAAGGTTCACGGCGAATGGATTGGGCCCAAGAGAGGTGAGAAGCCCAAAAGAGTTCAAAAGCCCATAAGCGCCTAAACTGTAAAGGCGAAATGGTATGGAAGGAGAATGTGGGTTCGACAATTACAATAGAGAACATGGATCAACCGCGAGAATAGAGAACGTGGGTTCATAAAGAGAAGTTACAATAGAGAACGTGGTTTCGTGAGAGGGGAGTTACGAAGAACACGTGGCATGCAAAGAAACAAAGTCCACTTAGAAAATAGTTATTTCTGTGTATTATAAATAAAGCACTTAGTGCACTTTTTAAAGGGGTCAAACTTTTCAATTCTTGCACGCTAGTCACTCAAAGTAACCAAGCAAACGAGCAAAATGAGCCAGGCAATGGCAATGTATGTTTGAACCAACCTATTTTTCAATCTTTCTTTAATGTTATGTCATTATCTTTTACGACTTAAAACACTTTTCGTCTCCTTTACGTTGTCTTTTTGTCATTATCTTTTACAATTTAAAACGTTTGGCTCCCAGTCAAACGCACCCTGTTTGAAAACGCTTTGACTATGCGTATGAAATGAGACACTGCTCCAAGATTCCCTGGTCGATCTCGCCCGTAAACTTGTTTTTAAGAGACTAGTGTTGTTTACCAAATCCAGATGTAAACAAATTGGTACACCCGGTGGGACAATGTTAATATTTTCGTATTTTTGCGTGTAGTTTTACAAAGTTTCTTATAGTTAGTGTGTGTATGAATTTGAGAAGTGGTGAACTTTTGTCTAAGTCTAAAGTGACACGCTCTGACACAAACACTGCACATACGCAGATTTCTACATAAAATGTGGATGTTATACCAGTAAGTACCACAACTCAAAACGCGACTGTTTTATCTCCCGTAAGATCAATCGCGGTTCATGGTTCAATGATAATAATCACAATGACAAAAACTAGGCATGATGTATCACCATTTGACCCAAATCGACCACTCTTTCCAGGGGGTCCAGGGCCATCATTTGTCCCTCACCAATATGGTATGCCTTATTCCTTGATGGTTGGGTTACAATAGAATCCTGCCACATATATAGAAAATGCAGTTACCACTGGAAACCAAGGAAGTTATTCCCCAAGTGGTCGACTAGGTGGTGTTAGTTATGTCCCGCAGTCGACCCCATCTTTGAATGCTACATCCGTTATGGCTTTAAGGCAACAAATGGATGAAAGTAATTTAGAGTTAGTAAACATATTAACTCAACAAATGAGAGTAACCCTAAACCCTGTAGTTGACCAAATAGGTAGATTAATCGACTCATTAGGGGTCCAACCAACTCAAACTCAAACGCGCCACAGGCCGTTGAGGGTTTTTGAAGAACTAGAGGGGGAAACGATGACCGTCCTTTTAGACCTTGAAGAGTGGAAACACCCACTTATGAAGAGGAAGAATTTATTGAACAATATGAACTTAGGCCGGTCGTAGTTAGGAGAAACCAAGATGCTGATCAAGTGTTATGAAATGCCACTGTTGGACGTAACAACATAGTGAATACGGTAGAAGAGGTATTAACACAATCCAGAGTAAATGTTGGCCTCCGGAGGCCCAATTACTCTTCACCCTTGCCTGATTACATTCAATAGTCAGAATTACCTAGGGGATGTAAGGTGCCTAAGTTTACTAAGTTTTCTTGTGAGGCCAATGAGTCAACCATTGAACATGTTGCTAGATACAAAACAGAAGCTGGCGATATCGCCAACAATGAGGGTTTAAAATTAAGATGCTTTCCTAACTATTTGACAAAGAATGATTTTACTTGGTTTACAATGTTTACTCTAAACTCCATACGTACTTGGGAACAACTTGAGGGGATATTTCATGAACAATTTTATGCTGGTCAGCCTAAGATA